AACTGTTCTCACCGACTATTAATATAATTAACCTTGTCGTGGAGTAAGATGTGTTGGAACGCGCCTTCTCCACGGCCACTGAGGGCCTTATATCAGCGTGTCAGCGACGTGATCCGGATGGATACTGTTTGTCTTTAGCCTTGAGACGTGGGAAGTGTTCACTATTCTCCCACGGGGAATTTTATTACATTCTTACATAGAATCATACGAAGGACAGCCAGCAGATAACACACTCAAATGCTTGAGTTAAAGGAAGCAGATGAAGAGGTAATAGCCAGTTGCAAATACTAAATTCTCACTTATTTAACAAATATTCCGACATTGGTTTATTTGCTGCCCATGTTAATTTGGAAGAAATTAGGAGACGTAAGTTGAAGGCGCTAGAGAACCTTTGTTGCACTAGACAACTATGGCGGCATACTGATGAGCGGAGGAACCCTCTCTGGTGACCTAAGTCTTCCTACCAAAATGATAGATTAGAGGAACTCACTGAGGCAGTTGTGGCAGACACGAACATACAACATAAGGCAGTGGGACACCAGAGTATGGACAACATTTGAGGCATTGGCACAACACTGTGGAGTAAACCTAATCTAATCAAGACTAAAATACCATATACATGAAACTGACTGGCACTGGAGAAAATCAGGTTATTAATAAAGGAAATCACAACAGAAGAGACACTTCTTAAGCCCAAAGGAACACCTCCTACAACTGGACGCGGTGAAGTACAGCCACCAGATATAATTCCCCAACAGGTCATGTACAGTTCACTGCTACACCATATACCATGCAAGGTGAGCTCAGGACTCAAGCCGTAGGCCCCACAGAGAGGGGGAACTGACCTGACGGGGAGGGCAGGGTCGTCCACCAAGTCGTCGAAGACTCCCTGCAGGAGGAACGCCAGGGGCCAGGAGATCCAGGAGGAGCTGCAACACACGACACAGGGTTAAGGGACCATCAGGGGACACTGGTTCACGCAGGCCTCGTCTGACTACACACGTGGGACAAGGGGGGATGGGGGGTAAGGGCTGACCTGAAATAGGAACCTGGGGCATAGAGTCGTGACCTGGGGCAGTGATCTAAGGAAGTGACGTGGGGGTCGTGACCTGGGGCAGTGAACTAAGGAAGTGACGTGGGGTCGTGACCTGGGGCAGTGATTTAAGGAAGTGACGTGGGGTCGGGGCCTGGGGCAGTGATCTAAGGAAATGACGTGGGGGTCGTGACCTGGGGCAGTGACGTGGGGGTCGTGACCTGGGGCAGTGAACTAAGGAAGTGACGTGGGGTCGTGACCTGGGGCAGTGATTTAAGGAAGTGACGTGGGGTCGGGGCCTGGGGCAGTGATCTAAGGAAATGACGTGGGGGTCGTGACCTGGGGCAGTGACGTGGGGGTCGTGACCTGGGGCAGTGAACTGAGGAAGTGACGTGGGGTCGTGACCTGGGACAGTGAACTAGGGAAGTGACGTGTGAATTAGAATATGTGGCTGTGCTTTGTGACATCAAAATAGTTATTTACATACTGACCTGGGAACTGAAGTTATACATAGTGCCCTGAGAAAAGGGTTATACATACTGACCTGGGAACTGAAGTTATACATAGTGCCCTGAGAAAAGGGTTATACATACTGACCTGGGAACTGAAGTTATACATAGTGACCTTTGAACTGAGGTTATACATAATCTTATACTCGCCACATATGCTTTTGATAATTGAGGTAGGAAAATGAACCTCGTTAAGACATTGTCACTGTTATTATGTCTCATGATCTCTTGTGCACACTTAAGCTATATTGGAGGAGGAGCAGAGATACTGTTTATTATTATTATTATTATTATTATTATTATTATTATTATTAGTAGTAGTAGTAGTAGTAGTAGTAGTAGTAGTAGTATTTAATTAAAACACCTATTCTTTCAATTCCCAGAGTTTGGGTAAAGAACGAGTAAATTTTGTCTCTTGTATGCAAAAGAAAAATTTATTTGGTAGTACTGAGAATCACGACTAATATGTACTGTATACGGTGATCAGTGGCGGGTGTGTTGACAAATGGCGGCCAGGCAGACTATGGCACTAAACCATTTATGAAAGATAACATGAACTAGATGAATTTAAACGAATGAGCTAATATTAATATTTCTTTAGATCAAGTTAGTTAAAATTTATGTTGGGTTTACTTGGTTCCTGCCATGTTTTCATAAACGTTTTAATGTCGCAGTCTCACAGCCACCATTTGTAAACGAGCACTACGAGTTGGGTCCTGATTTAATAACACGGCAATTATGGTGAAGATAATATAGAGTCCATACGACCTTGGTAATGGATGATTCACTAACAGTTCGTACGGCGACTACAAGGTTAAGCTTAGTTCAGGTTACCCAGCTAATGAAACATAAACAGTCACGCTTGAGATGATAATTATGGAGGGTGAGAGTTGTAATGAAATGTTGCTTTATTTCTCCGATAGTAACAGCCCGAGAACGTTTAGAGTGGAGGACTGTGGTCACCAACCCTCATATGAAGACGGTACTCTGATTAATTGAACTGAGTTTGCTAAAAGGAAAAGTGTGATCTTGGGAACACTTGAGTCAGCTCTCACGAAACAGACGAAATATGTAGCCTGGCATGTGGCCGTGAAGGCAGTCAGCCACACAACACGAGATGCGGAGGAGGTGCGAATTTTTTACTTCTGGTCACTTGTTAAGAAGACGTGTAGCAAGAAATATAGATTTAAAAAGACGGGTTAGCCTAATAATGTTTGTCATGGGATAACCTTTTTTCCTAAAATTAATTCATAAGTCTACAGTGTAGTTTATAGTCTAGGGCCTACTATAATTAGGCAAGGTCGCGGCTGGGGTATAGGCCTATTGATGTTACTTAAAAAAAACCAAAACAGGACCAGTGATTTATAATGTTGAAGTCTGGCCTAATATAAAGTAAGGGAGTAACTGAGCAGAAGAGGGCGCTCCTTTATATGAAGACGAACTGTTCTTTGGGAAAAATTTGTTTTATATTTTAGTGTTAAAGTATAATTTATCCAGAGTGTATTTGGATATTATTTAATTACACTGGGATTACATGTTTTCTCCTTGTCACTCGACCAGTATCTTGCTGTAGCTGATCACATATCCACGTAATTTTGCATATCTGGCCCATTTTTTCACTTTATCATGGACGCGATAGGATGATGCATTGAGAGAGATCCAAAACGAAAAATAAATGGATTAACTTTTTGTCTATTGGCCGATACAATACTTCAACGAGCATATGGCGTCTGGAGCAACAATTAGAAAATAAAAACCTCATTAGGGTTAGCCACCTATGGTCGTGTCGAGGGTACAAGGTCGAACAGATCACCTCCACGGAGAGCAAGAAGCGGTGATAAGTACACAAGTTGGGTTTTCTGCACAGTGAAGGCCCTGCTGAAGGAGGGGGTGAAGGGTCGGTTATAGTGAGTCTCGGCATCCTGAAGTAGAAGTATGGTCTGGGTAGAGGTAAGGCCTGTAGGTGATAATGTGTCACTTCATCATCAAACAGGAGCATGTGAGTCGAATACCCTTGAGTCCGTACCCGTGGAACCAACGCGTTTCGGGACGTTGGATGGATTGGTAATAAAAACAAGTAATCAAGAGCGTTTTACCGCCATTAAGTACACTCGATTCTTAAGAGGGACTCGCATGACCTGGTTACATAATTGAATGAACTCTCTATAAAAGATTGGTCATAATTTAGTTTTCAATAGTTAACTGACAACACCCTGAGACACTGGTGACGTCAGGGTTTAGATTCCAGGTAAGTCGAAGGTTTAGGACCAGAGATGACTTGTAATCTCCATTGAGACGGTCATGAGCATTATCGGGGATGTTTACATAAAGATTCCTAATTTCAGTTCTCTGTCTTCGAAACTGTCGCCGTGTATAGCGAACAATCACATTAACAAATACTATGCTTTATTTAGTTATATAGATGGCAAGAGAGAGAGAGGCTCAGTCAAAACAGTTAGGACAAGTTTAGCCTATACCTTCGACTCTGCTTCGACTTGCAGTTCGAGCTGACTGGCTTCATGTTCTGCATCGATACTTCCAGCCAGTCTGCCACCACGAGGTCTATAACGCACAATTGTCGCCGTCGTATCGTGCTAACTATCTTCTCGAAAACAATAGTGTGTCGTAAAGTGTCATAAGTGTTATAGTGTTGTAAAGTGTCATAAAAGTTTGAGTGTCGGAAAATGTCATTAGTGTCATAGTGTCGGAAAGTGCCATCGCTGCCACCAGAATAACGAGGTAAGTGCTGGTCAAAACAGGAGTGAAAGATAGATTATGGATTTGTTGACGTTACCTGATAGAAGGTTAGGTTAGGTTAGGTTAGGTTAGGTTAGGTTAGGTTAGGTTAGGTTAGGTTAGGTTAGGTTAGGTTAGGTTAGGTTAGGTTGTGCTGTACTGTCTTAAAACTGTGTCATCCTGAAACTATCATGTCCCTGTTGTCCTGACGTGTGTGACTCAGGCTGTGATTGACTGGGAAACAGGATATAAAATATACCTGTGTGTGGACGTTCACTGATCAGCCGGTTACGAGCATACTTTTGTTAAGGGTAGGTTTTATTGGCTCTGGAGTGTCTGACCCTTTACTAAAAATGAATCGTAAGCCGGACTCAGTTTTGTGGCTATTTGTTAACATGGTGTTTAAGAGAGAGGGAGAGGGAGTGATTGTTTGTTGAGAGAAACGTAAATATGTTTCGCTTGTCCACTACTTATTATGTTAATCATTTATGGGATCCTATGTGAGAAGTTTATTATGTCTTAAGTGAATATCAAACGGTTTTGTGTTTTGTTCACTTCTCCAACACCTCAGAGTTATGTTCTATGTATTTAAAGAAACATATCAGTAAAGATCCCGTTAGAGAGGTGTAAACTGGCGGAGCTATACTTAACATTGACCATAAGTGTAAATGTTCGGAAGTACCGGAGGTAATGTTGGTGATTAACCACATGATGTATTTCAGGCAGTGAGACTCCTGACCCACGAGGCAGTGCGGACATGGGGTGTCGACTTTTCCTCTACCAGAAGAACAAGGTGAACACATTACTACTGGTGTTATTATACCACATTGAACAACGTTCTTTATACACTGAACAGCATCTAAAAACTGATTTTGCCATGACTGTAGTCCTGTTAGTTGAATAGTGAAAGATATTACAGGTGTGAATAGTATGAACTACAGGTAAAATTATCGACTTTCTTTTTCTAGGTAAGTGAACGCTCACAGCTCCTCGGGGGAGAGTAACACACCACACCTCAGGTAACGTGCGTGTCACTTTTTCTGTTATAATCATCGTAACGCTGAACACTGATAATAATCTGCTTAAGGTTTAAAATACAGTTGATGTTTGTGTCATATCGGGATAACTTGTTTTTATTGATGTAACTTAATTAATATTAGTTTGTATATGGTAAAATTTACTCTTTATTTAAGGCGTCATTTATTATTGTAACCTGACTCTATACCTGTGCGGGTGTGATGCGTATTTTTTTAATTTTGCATTTGTTTTATTTTATTACATCTAATTATAAAGTTGGTAAACATGTCGCGGTACGTTGCAGGAGGCGACATTTTGGGAGTCGAAGTAACTATTTGAGTAACCGAACAAGCTTTTAAGTTTGTCAATAACAGTAATAAGTCTTATGTAAGAGTAATGTATCTTTAACCGTAAAATATATTTATAAAACAGAAGACTAAAGAATTATTTGCCTGGAAACTAAGTCAGTAGGAAAAACATTATCCACAGTACTTATTGCCCAGTCCTAAAAATGGGCTCTTGGGTGGGGCTGTCCAAGGTGGTCCAGGGATAGCCGCTTGTTTGACGCCACAGGGGCAGGGGTAGTGGGCTACTTACTACGCCCTCTCAATCTTCCTTGAATAACTTTCGTTTAAATATATTTTATATGGTGCTGCTGTTGTCAGTAGCTGTAGGGTGAAGAGTTTTCCATCGAAGAATGCTAATTACAGACGTCAACGACCTCCATGACCTGATTTATGACCCCAAAGCCGTATCAGGTCAAATAGCGAGAACCTTCATCACCACCACTCTGTTCTGTTCGGGCTGGTGTTGTTAGAATTTTTTGTAAATAAGAATTCTGCAGAGAGCAATACACATTGTTAATGCTATCATTGAACTATTTTTGTTATTCGTGAGAGAAATACCAAAAGCGATTGTATCTCACGCGGCTTCACGGAAAGAAACCGCATGCAATTCTGCGGCAGCGGCTAAATGAAAATACAACACTTGTCCTGACCTTTCGCAAAATTTTAATTGTAGCTCTACGCACGCATAAGAATAGATGTAATGTTTTATTATAGTAAGAATGTATTAACTTGGTTCGACCAATAGCTGGCAAACGGAGAGAGACTGCCTCGCTAGTGGCTTTTATTTTCACCTCTTATGAATGCCACCTTCTGTTTCTGTTGTCGCCGTTTAACTCGGGGAAAGTGTTTTTGGGGCGCGAGACTGGTTTCAGGAATTGGATGAAGCTTCAGCCACGTGTTGTAGAGTATGAAGCTATTCCGGTACATGAGGTTGCATGCCAAAAATGGACTGAACATCGTTTGAGGTTGAGCAAAGAAAAGAACCATGGAAATCAGCGCATCACAAACAAAGAAGTAGGGAGGTGGAGAGATCCTGTTGAGGGAAATGGAATACATTTTCTTTCCTGGTATGACAAAGCTTGCCACTCCGAACACATTGCGAACACCAGTCATCCACCAACACTGGCCACTTCCTGCTGTCATCCGTGAACACATCATGAGAGACCCACTACTACAACACCCTGTCTATAACGAACGATTAAGGAGTTCGTTCTGACCCTGGGACAGCATGTTCGACTTAATATCCAGAATGAGGCAAAGGTGCTACTGTACTCCGTGATGCTTGACAGTGTCCCAGATATTTCCTAACATGACCAGTTGTTTCATGTGATCACCCGTGTAAAGATTAGTAATGAAACAGTTGAAGTGAGAGTCTTTTATTGGCTTCATTATGCTCCTGCTGAAGGATGGCTGACCTCTAACTCATTAGATTGCGTTTGCACTGATTGTGGTGTAAACAAATGCAAGGCTCTGCGTTAGGTGGCATGTGTGTAGTTTTTTTAGAAATAGATTACCCTGTCATTCCCTTGTTTGAATTTTGAATTGTAATAACGAATCAAATGTATGACCGTATTCTAAAAAAATAAATGGTTGAAAGTGACAGTAAAATTTATTAAAATAGGAAGACTGGGGGGGGGGAGGGGGGGACTGCAGCCTCGGACGTCACGTGACCACGGTTGATTTGGTCAGGAAAATACATCGGGTGTTTTATTGTTTTATTTTTGTTGCCGCAATTCAGTAAAAGCAAAACAGATTATACGTTACAATATCCTCTCCCTTACCTGCAAGTTACAATTACCTGGAGAGCAACTGTCTTGTGTTACTTCATTCATTGTGAAATATTCGTTTATGTTCTAACTCAAAGACGAATCATATTGTGATCATGTAAACTATCTTAATGGCTGTACAGACATAATGAGGCACACATCTCTACAAACATGTGAGCATCGTTGTGTAAACTAAACATACGTGCTGGCATATACTGTACGTAGACCTCAAGGATGAATTTAGTTAAGACAGACGTACACAGGGAGAGTTGGGAAAGTTAGTGGCAACAGTCGAGAAGTGTACTATACTGTATCTTGCTTTATAATCAACACAACACGATAAAAAAAATGACGACCTCTCTGCAGGCATCAACCAGGAGCACTGTATTTTGTAACTGTAGGTTAGATATGACGTCAACACCGATGTATGAGCAACAGGTAGCACTTAGTATACACAACACAGCCTCGGGAGTTGATGTGTCTACTAGAGCTGGAGACATTGACTTGTAGAGTGTGAGGAAGTACTTGTATACAGGGAAGTGGACGTTTAGTTATGCTAGGGCTTGGAGGTTCTTGTCTTGCTAGTGTTTGGAGGTGCTTGTCTTGCTAGCGCTTGGAGGTTCTTGTCTTGCTAGAGCTTGGAGGTGCTTGTCTTGCTAGAGCTTGGAGGTGCTTGTCTTGCTAGAGCTTGGAGGTGCTTGTCTTGCTAGAGCTTGGAGGTGCTTGTCTTGCTAGAGCTTGGAGGTACTTGTCTTGTTAGAGCTTGGAGGTGCTTGTCTTGCTAGAGCTTGGAGGTACTTGTCTTGTTAGAGCTTGGAGGTGCTTGTCTTGCTAGAGCTTGGAGGTTCTTGTCTTGCTAGAGCTTGGAGGTTCTTGTCTTGCTAGAGCTTGGAGGTTCTTGTCTGCTAGAGCTTGGAGGTGCTTGTCTTGCCTAGTGCTCAGGAGGTGCTTGTCTTGCTAGTGCTGCAGGTGTTTGTTTGCTAGTGCTTAGAGTGCTTGTCTTGCTAGTGCTCAGAGATTACTTGTCTTGCTAGTGCTTGGAGGTGCTTGTCTTGCTGAAACTTGGAGGTTCTTGTCTTGCTAAACTTGGGAGTTCTTGTCTTGCTAGAGCTTGGAGGTTCTTGTCTTGCCAAACTTGGAGGTTGTCTTGCTAGACTTGGAGGTTCTTGTCTTGCTAGAGGCTTGGAGGTTCTTGTCTTGCTAGAGACTTGGAGGTCTTGTCTTGCACTAGGCAGGTGCTTGTTGTGTGCTGAGCTTGGGTGCTTGTTGTGCTAGAGCTTGGGAGGTCTTGTCTTGCTAGTGCTCAGGAGGTGCTTGTCTTGCCTTAGATGCTTGCAGGTGTTGTTTGCTAGTGCTTGGAGTGCTTGTCTTGCTGACTTGGAGTGCTTGTTGCTAGAGCTTGGAGGTGCTTGTCTTGCTAGAGCTTGGAGGTGCTTGTCTTGCTAGAGCTTGGAGGTACTTGTCTTGTTAGAGCTTGGAGGTGCTTGTCTTGCTAGAGCTTGGAGGTACTTCTCTTGCTAGAGCTTGGAAGTACCTGTCTTGCTAGAGCTTGGAGGTGCTTGTCTTGCTAGAGCTTGGAAGTACCTGTCTTGCTAGAGCTTGGAGGTTCTTGTTTGTTACCATAGAAACTATATAAATAACTGAGGGGGGGGTGGGGGCGTGATGAAAATAAGCAATTATTGAACAGTGAGTGACTTGTAGGAGGAGGTTGACTACCAGGTGAGGGGGAGGAGGGAGAGAACAGTATATGTTTACTTATCATTAACACCACTTATCAGCCAATTGAGTCCTTAGTCGAATTTTTTATCCTTATTTATTCTTTAAGTTTTTTTTTTTTTTACTTTTGTTACGACCTTCATTGGCTTGTGTTAATGCAAGAGAAAACTGTAGTACCTGAAAAGAAAACAATATTTGATGGATTACACTGGATATCACCCTTCTCACATTTGACCCGAGACGGAGATCGAACCAGGGACACAATAGTAAGAGACATTAGCTATATTACTGTGCTACCAATGCCAGTTATACGTAGTTGGTTTGATAGACATAGAGGTATATGAGGATTTATACAGACTCCTGGACCTCTGGGGTAAACAGTAATGGTTCTTTAACGTAATGTATGAAAACAAATAACAGTAAACAACATGATAAGAAGAGTGGGACTACACTCGTACACAGGCAAGTCTCACATTACTGCTGCTGCTGAGATGACGTTTACTGAACTTGCTCAACGCCTTACCAACACGACCCCGCCCCGCCCCGCCCCGCCCCAACTACGGTAACGCCCACAGTCTTGATACTATAATGTGTTAATGAATTTGGACATCTAATAGAGCTGTTAATGTGTCTCCTGGATTCGTAATTATATACAAGTTGTCAGCGATTGAAATAGAGGTGTTTGGTTATGTTAGGTGATGCTCTGAGATGCTGGGTGATGCTAGGTTATGCTAGGTGATGGTAGGTGATGGTAGGTTATGCTAGGTGATACTTGTTTTAAAAGAAAAGCAATATTTTATCACAGGTGAAGAACAAAAACATTATTTCTGTCTTTGTCACGTATAGAATGAACAAAAATACGCTAATATGTTTTCGTTTTGTATTGTGATGGACAAACATCGTGTGACTTGAGGCTAATGACTTGTTTGTATGATGTGAATGTT